TTGTTTTGCTGTTTGCAGTCTATCCCCGGTTATTTTAAGTTTTAAGCACTTTTAAAAATGAAATTACTAAATTTTCGAATTCGCAACTCACTAATTACAAAAAAAAAATATATTTAAAAAAATTAAATTCTGAACTAACAGTGAATTAAATTTTTCCTATTTATATTACAAAATTAACATATTTATAAAATTGTTACATTATATTAAGATATAAATTTATGTTATGGCGTCTACAATTTTTTAACTGATACCTTTTGATGTCATTCAATATCATGACTGTAATGTATTGTTTAAATAATTCACTAAAGCTTCGATTGCATCTTGGTTTATTTTGTTACATAAATAGTCAACTATCTAATATTTTTTTGCACTAGATTATATCTTGGTTTATTTTGGTACAGAATTAATCAACTATCAAAGAATTTTTTTTTTGCACCAGATTTGTTGATTTTTATTTAAACTGCGTAATAATTTTAAATAGATATGTTTTATTGGGGGATTTAAATAAACTTCATGTGATAAGTATCATATGTTTCTCTTGTGTGATCACTCATAGTTGTTGTCTTAGATAAGCTTAGAAAAAAAATTTGTATTAATATATATGCTAACAACCCACACAAAACCTTGATAAAACTAACGTTAAAAAACATTCATATCTACGAAAATTGCTGAGCAGAAAGCTCACATTAAATTATAGAGAACTACCTGAAACAGCACTCAAGTAACATTCTTCAAACGGAAATAAAGTACTACTTCCTGTTACCGGAAATCCTTCAAAATTTGACAGAAGCATGAGCATACAATGTATTACAAGTGAAGGGTGGCAACGAAAATGTGTTGCACTTACACTTCAAAAAGAAAACTGTCATACTTTCAAAATATATTTTTTTTATTTAAAAAAAAAGAAACGAAAATTGATCAATAGTACCCGTGCTTTAAATTAAATACAAAATGGTGACTAGCGATATTTTCGGCATAGCAACTTCTACAGTAGACGTTTTTTCTTTGTACAGGGGACATAATTCAATTATTATTTTCGACAAAGTAAATCTATGCTGGTTATATCCCTTTATCAAAATTTGTGAAATTACAGTCGGGGATGGAAGGGGGGGGGGGGGGAGGGCTTCGAATGTTTAGTGACCAAAGGGAGATGAGTTGGGGGCAGTTGGAGTATCGGTGATAAAGTATGACGTCATTTTTAGACGAACTAGTCAGCGTTACGGTCTCTTGACCGAGTGGGCGCTGACGTCAGAGTGATGGCCGTCAGGTGACACGTCACGTGATCAACCTAGTCGTGTGGTGGACGTCAACATGACCCGAGGACCGGTGCTGTGTTAAATGTCAACAAATGTAAACAAATGTAAACAAATGTCAACAAATGTAAACAAATGTAAACAAATCAATGGGTTGGTTCATGGCGCGTGCCGCAGGTGCGGCCAATCGGAGGGTTGGGATAGATCACGTGGGCTGAGTTCGTCAGGTTTAAGGAGAATCTCTCTCACACACACACACACACACACACACACGCGCGCGCACAGAAAGAGAGAGAGGGGGGGAGAGAGAGTTACTAAAACTATTCGGTATTATACACCAGTTTTTTATAGTAAAATATTGAATTATCTACTACAAACGTAGCCACCACTTCTCTATTACATACGTAGCTCTACTACACACATAGCTACTACTTTTCTACATCAAACGTAACTACTTCTTTTTTTACATCAAACGTAGCTACAACTTCTCTAATACACACTTAGCTATACTACACATGTAACTCTACTACACACGTAGCTACTACTTTTCTACATCTAAAGTAGCTACTACTTCTCTACTACACACGTAGCTACTACTTCTCTACTACACACGTAGCTACTACTTCTCTACCACAAACGTAGTTACTTCTTCTCTACTAGACACGTAGCTCTACTAAACACTTACCAACAACTTCTCTACTACAAACGCAGCAACTACTTCTCTACTACAAACGTAGCTACTACTTCTCTACTACAAACGTAGCTACTACTTCTCTACTACAAACGTAGCTACTACTTCTCTACAACAAACGTAGCTGCTACTTCTGTACAATACACTTAGCTACCACTTTTCTACTACACACATAGCTAATACTTCTATACAACACACGTAGCTACTACTTCTCTACCACAAACGTAATTACATCTTCTCTACTATACAAAGTCGGTTTTTTAAAAAAAAACTAAAGTTCTAGAATATATAATAAAACATTCATTACGATAAATTTCCCAAAACGAGTCAACGCAACTTGAAGCATCTGGTACATCCATTCATACTACTGATGTTAGTTTTTTAACTTGACCCTTTTGATTAATTCCTATCCGTCGAGTGTACCGTAACGGGGACAAAAAAACATACTTTGTATAACAAACACAAGTATAGCGGATAACAACATCTGTGGTGAAATCAATTTAACAATATATTGAACTGAAATTTCGAAATGTATCTTTTGTGTAAGTAAACATACCAATGATAAAAATTAATAATAAAAATTATTGCGAAATGCTTGGTTTCTCAAAAAAGGAAAAGGACCGAAAAAAAATTATTGAATGCAGTATGCGTTAAATATATTCTGCCTGAATAAGAATTTTAACAAGCAAAAACTGTTTAAAGCTGACAGCCTGTTTTAGTACTGTTGAAAAGCTTCTGCAGGCTGAGTTATACACATGTTTCCTGTGGGTGTAAAGTAGAGTCAAATGGTGGGGCAGGGGCTGAGGCGTAGTGAGGGCGGGGCAGGGGTGAGGACCGCACCGGGTGACACCATTTAGGGGTGACACCGTGGCAAAAACTTGCAAAATGTACAGAAAAGATGCTTTATGCCTCTTCCATAAATGATTAATTACATTAAATTAAATAGAAATGGGGGTGTGGTAACACCATGACGTAAACGTTTTAACTTTAGAGAAAACAATGCTGCATCTAAATGTATTATTAACGGACTATAAATAAACGACGTCACTATTATGTTTGCCGTGATTAAAGCTTATACACATACATGTACGCGTATGTGGCATATATTTAAATTATAGGTCTATGCAGTGGTGTAGCGAGGTCGGATGTCACCCGGTGCGGCACTTAATGGCGTCACCCCCAGAGGCGTAGCGACCCTTCCCGGGGACAAACTTTCAATTTTCGATTTGCACCCCCCTCTCAAACTTTCGATTTGCACCCCCCTCCCCCTCAAACGTTCGATTTGCACATCTGAAAAGACTATTTAGCACTCGAATTTCATATAATTAAGTGGAATTATCATTATTCTCTATATATTTTGCTATTTTTTGCCTTGGTGTTACCCTCCCCCCAAATGGTGTCACCCGGTGCGGTCCGTACCCCCCCCCCACTCTTCGCTACGCCTATGGGCCTATGTAGGCCGACACACCCAAACACACACACACACAAACACACACACATAAATATATATATATATATATATATATATATATATATATATATATATATATATATATATATATATATATATATATAATTATCTTGTTAATTTACCAGTTAGTTAAAGCTATAACTAAACGGTGACACCGTCAAAGATAAGAGTAACAACAAACACTTTAAAAAATTGTGTCGATCATTTATTGCCGAGTTAAAGGGGGTTACACGCATCAGGTTTCACCCCACCTTGTGGCTTCATGTAGACAGGCTGTTGTGCTACACAGGCACATTACAGACAGGCTGTTGTGCTACACAGACAGGCACCCTACAGACAGGCTGTTGTGCTACACAGGCACCCTATAGACAGGCTGTTGTGTTACACAGACAGGCACCCTACAGACAGGTTGTTGTGCTACACAGGCTCCGTGTAGGCAGGCTGTTGTGCTACACAGGCTCCGTGTAGGCAGGCTGTTGTGCTACACAGGCTCCGTGTAGGCAGGCTGTTGTGCTACACAGGCACATTACAGACAGGCTGTTGTGCTACACAGACAGGCACCCTACAGACAGGCTGTTGTGCTACACAGGCACCCTATAGACAGGCTGTTGTGTTACACAGACAGGCACCCTACAGACAGGTTGTTGTGCTACACAGGCTCCGTGTAGGCAGGCTGTTGTGCTACACAGGCTCCGTGTAGGCAGGCTGTTGTGCTACACAGGCTCCGTGTAGGCAGGCTGTTGTGCTACACAGGCTCCGTGTAGGCAGGCTGTTGTGCTACACAGGCTCCGTGTAGGCAGGCTGTTGTGCTACACAGGCTCCGTGTAGGCAGGCTGTTGTGCTACACAGGCTCCGTGTAGGCAGGCTGTTGTGCTACACAGGCTCCATGTAGACAGGCTGTTGTGCTACACAGGCACCATACAGACAGGCTGTTGTGCTACACAGGCACCCTACAGACAGGCTGTTGTGCTACACAGGCTCCATGTAGACAGGCTGTTGTGCTACACAGGCTCCCTGTAGACAGGCTGTTGTGCTACACAGGCTCCATGTAGACAGGCTGTTGTGCTACACAGGCACCATACAGACAGGCTGTTGTGCTACACAGGCACCATACAGACAGGCTGTTGTGCTACACAGGCAACCTACAGACAGGCTGTTGTGCTACACAGGCAACCTACAGACAGGCTGTTGTACTACACAGGCTCCGTGTAGACAGGCTGTTGTGCTACACAGGCTCCATGTAGACAGGCTGTTGTGCTACACACGTTCTCTTTGTATGTAATTTTTTTGAAAATGAAAGTCACTTTCTTGATAGCACTTTCTTGGTTGCATTATAGAGAAAAACAAACACACAAATATGTCGGCCCTAATCCTAAAAAGCAACAACAACTAGCTGACATTTTTAATGGCCGTTATTAAAATCATCAAAACAAACCCACAAATAAGGATTACAGACTCTAAAATTTAAACTTCAAACAATATCTGAGGAAGCTTAGTTTATTTTATCACTGATACATCTGGTTGTCAGACTATTTCAAAACATGCTTACAAATGTATAAATATACGTCAATTCTAGTAGAAAGGTAAATCTACTCCCTGAATCTTCGACAATGTAAGTTTTTGAAACGTTTGAATACGATGTGTAGATAATATATATATATATATATATATATATATATATATATATATATATATATATATATATATATGCAGTATAATACTTTATTATAGACCCTGTAAAAGTGTCATTTAATATAGGATTAGTTCATTTCATTTCTTATTTTGGTTTAAGAAATAATTGCTTATATTTATCATATGTCATAATTAATTTAATTAAATTCTTTGCTGACACCGTACGGACCTGGCTCATGGTGATATACTTAACGGTGATCGAAGCAAGAAACGAACATAAGTTTTTCAACATTCCTCAATTTGATATGTGGACTTTTTGTCTTATTTTTAAAATTGTTTAACTGTGTAAAAAAAAACTCTTTGAAATCTTTTTTTGTGTGTATGCTCTGCTTATCACGTCTACCCAGCTGATGAGTGATCAGTGCGTTACATTTTGTAAAGCAATTATTATTCGCATTGGACGACGTGGTCGAATGGTAGAGCATTTGGCAGCTGGCCCGAAGATCTCGAGTTTGTCTCTCGGTTCAGACTTGTAAAACGTCTCTGAGTCTACCCAGCCCTAATGGGTACCGGACTTACGGTCGAAAAAGTAAAGTGCATAGCGGTGGCCACATTATACCTTCACATGCCGAGGTCAAGAAACGTATGAATCATACATCATCAGCCCAATGGATCGCTATGTCTAAAGAGGAACTTTACTACGCTACACATACACCGATTTATTTATATCTGAATGCATTTCTTTATGATTCGCAGTACCCTATAGATTGTTCTGTGAAAACAAAATGTCCGCCAAACTACTTCTCGCTAGCGTCCTTCTTTCAACACTGCTGGTCGCATCGGTGGTCGGTGATTGTGAGTTGTGTTACAAATTTTTTCAGCGCTAATCGCTGGGTTTAGATACCAGATACTCAGATAGACATTGATAGAGAAGTTTAGAGAATCGTAATGTAATGATTTTAAATCTAGGTAAAGTAATCTTTAGTTATTAATTAGATCTTTTATGTCTAGAAAAGAGTTTTAATAATTTTGTCGAAAAAAAAAACGTTTATATGATAATTTACTAAAACTTAAATTTTACGACTGTATTTGCAGATAGTATACATACATATATATATATATATATATATATATATATATATATATATATATATATATATATATATATATATATATATATATATATATATATATATATATATATATATATATATATATATATATATATATATATTTCAGCAAAGAGAACAAGAACTACTACTAAACCAACTACAACAACAACTAAACCAACTACAACAACAACTAAACCTACTACAACAACAACTAACCCAACTACAACAACAACTAACCCAACTACAACAACAACTAACCCAACTACAACAACCACTAAACCAACCACCACTACCACGAAGGCAACCACTAAAAAAACTACAACAACATCAAAACGCCATTCTAAATAAACTTTTAAACGCATCGGCTTGGTAACGGATTTGTGAAAACGCGTATGGTAAGTTTTTAAAAAACTAATTAGTTTAATTGCATATCAATTAACAAATATTTAAACACTGAACTGGTTAGGCAGTATCTTGAAAATGCCGGTGCGACGTTATTTTTTAGGTATTGCACGAAATCCAAATAAAAAACCTAACTAGCCAAACAATGTTTTCTCCAGCGTAAATAAACAAATGATGACAAATCTAAAGTATCGTGGGGGGGGGGGGGGGGGGGGAGGGGGTGTGGGGAAGGGGGAGGGGTGAGGTGACACCCGACCAAGTGACCCCTCTGGGTTTGTGTCATGCCCATTTTGGTCATCTCTTAAACACAGTTTCTTTAAGGAGGCATTTCTTCGCACCCCCCCCCCCCCCCCACCCCACCCCCACCCCCACCCCCCACCCCCAAAGTTCGCCTGCCGCACTCCCCGAAGAACGAATTAGAATTTAGAAAATATATACTTTTACCAGTGTCCTCACTCCCCCTCCTCCATCCTAGAAATTTTCAACCGCCCCCCCCCCCCACTCTGGAGTAAAAAGTCTGAAAGAAACACAAGACTGTCTATACCCTGACTAAACTATAATGTAAAAGATTTCTGTATTTCTTTTCTTCATAGAGCCACGGAATGATCTACCTGACTATTGAAAAAATACCAAGCTGACAGTTTAAAGGTTGTGACATGACAACGATTTGTCTGACGACTGTCAATCATCGTAAACCACGCTTGAATTACTTTGTTTAACTTTATTTTCAGCATTTAGTTGGGGAAAAAAACTTTTTAATTTTTTGAAAACACATTTTAAATCTATTCTATTCCAGTAAATAAAGCTATAAAATAAACATCTGTTGAGTTTTTAATTTCACTCAAGTCATTTATTCAATTGTATGCTATGGTTATCCTATCTTTCATGATTTGTAATGCACTTTTTAAAATATATTTTACAAATTACCACACATTTATTTCGATTACGAACATCGTTTTAAATTTAAATACCACCACTATGTATATTTTCCGAACTGTTTATTATAGAGCTTGTAGATCTTAGTCATATACAAACACTTTAAAGTTAAATAAATTAAACACACTGGTGATACACTTATTAGGATCTAATGTAACAAAAGTAATGTATATATGTGTTATATATATATATATATATATATATATATATATATATATATATATATATATATATATATATATATATATATATATATATATACTAGCTTATACCCGTGCTTCACTACGATGTGGATATGGTTATTACCGCGATCATCGCATTTAAACGGATATTCTTTCAGCGCACCACGCTACACGCGGGTGGCGGTAGCACTTTGGTGTGAATATGGATATTCACGGACATCCGCTCAGATATCCCTCCAACCCCAACTCAAACATCATTATTTTCCGTCCGCGCACAGGGCAGAGACTTCAACATGGATGACCACATTCTCCAGCTTAAAAAACGACGACAAAGTGGCTATAACGATGATACAAATGACGGAAGTGCGAGGAAGTGCGAAACGATAATGGCGGCTTATATTATAAACTAGCTGCATACCCATGCTCCACCACGGTGAATCTGTTTTAAATGTACCAACTTGTGTTTAACAAAGCCAAACACAAAAGGAAATGCAAACGCAAACACAGCGCAAACGCGAATAAACAAAACAAAAATGTACTGGAGCAGATAACTGGTGTCTGTAATGGCAGGTACCTGTAGGTTTTTACAAGGGGAGATAACAGTGGGCCGACTTTACGGGGAGATAACCACTAATAAAACATGGGTTGCTACTAAAACCACTCGAGCAGCCACCATTCCTCTCCTCCCCCCCCCCCCCCTCCTCATCACCCCAACAGTTTGGGTGGCGCGCTACTAGAAGAGTGTCGGATCACTCAAGTTGTATGGCACGTCGCCTGGCCAGCTCTGCTCATCAAAACCAATAGCTCCGCCCCACCCAGATGGCTGTACCTGTCTAGGTACTTCGCGGGGGAGGGGCGATACCAGGTTGTGGTCACAGTTCAGTGAACCTTGCACAAAGAACTGGCATCATTGGCCTGAGACGTGTTTTCAATATCCCTCTCCCCTTCCCCTTCCCCTATACCAACTTGGGAACAGAGCAAACACAAAGGAAAACAAACGCAAACAATAACACAAACGTAAAGAAAAATACAAACGCAACTCGCAAACACAAACACAAAAGAAAATACAAACGCAAACTCTAACAAAAACGCAGAGAGAGCTATTCCCACATGCTCTAATTTAACTATCACTTTAAATAGCACAAATAAAAAAAATAGTGATTTTAAGATATCAGAAGGGTCGGTAAAGCTCATGGTTGCTAAACCGAAAAGTCACGAGTTCGAACCCTCGGGCAGATAAGGCTCGTTAGCTGTGGACAGCCACTCTTCTAGGAGAGACAAGTCCAAAATTAAACAACTGCTGCCTTGTAGTTTGTTCTTGGTTGGACAAAGGCTATAGAAGCAAATCCAAAAAGAAAATTGTGTTGAAGGCGTGGTCGAGTCGGTAAAAAGCTCATGGTTGATAAATTCGAATAAAGTCTCGAGTTAAAACCCACTGGCAGATAAATCTCGATCCCCTTCATCGGGTTTTTTTTTTTTTTTTTTTTTTTTTACAAAAAAATAGGTGCCGATACTCAGTGCCAACTTTTAACTGCCAGCTCGCACCTCGATGCAAGCTAAATCACAACTGCAAAGTTACTACATGCCTAAAACAATTTTATTTTATAGTTAACCAACTTAAATTGTTTTGTTATTACTTTATTAGTATACCGTATACATTAGTTATGATGTGTACAATTTAACTAACAACTTATTCGGTAGTCAAGCTGACAGGCTGTTGCATGCTGTTTTATGTTGACAGCCTGTTTTAGTACTCATGGACCCCATAACAGGCTTCTACAGGCTGACGTTTTCTGTATAGAAAGAGTAATAAATTTAGTTATTTTTTTCTTTTTACTGTTGTGCTGTTTTTTGTTTTTTTTTTGGCTAAGGGAATTTTGAGAAATTATTTCCCTTACCATATTATTAAAGCGAAATGGGAAGTGATAAAAAAAAATTTAACACTTGTTTAAATAGATGTACATACTAAATACATTATTAAAACAACAAAATGATTTTAAAATGTCATCACAGCGTTTTCATCTTAGCTGTGTTTTAGGTGATTTTGCATCTACACAGAGCCGGCGTTAGGAATACGCGGGGCCTAGGGCCAACCATCCGCGCGGGGCCTTTCCATTATATATATATATATATATATATATATATATATATATATATATATATATATATATATATATATATATATATATATATATATATACACATGTATATATATATATATATATATATATATATTATATATATATGTGTGTGTGTATAAAGGCCTATATAATGTGATGTACACATAATAACACAAATGTTTTGGAGTTTATAAGCTAATGTCAAACTTTCCACTATAATAACAGATTTTTATCTCTCCCATGTATTAACCCAATGTTCGTAGTTTTTTTTTCCTTTGCTAAGATATTAAATCACTTTTAACAATTATGTAATTCATACCAAATCACTTAAAAAAATTTAATCACGTGCCGAATAATTAGGAAAATAAAGTTTACAATACAGCGAACTCGGCCTGATGTATCAAAAAGTATAGACTTCAAAAAATTTGTTTAGAATTCATACAATATTTTAAAACCAAAATCATTATTGTCTTAATTATTGAACGGGTGAATCCTTAAGGTGACACAACATAACAACAGTTTTAACTTTCTTCCAAAAAATAATAATAAATCACTCTGTTTAATGCCGCCTGATATAGATCCTAAGGCCCCCCCCCCCTTCTCGTCGCCCTCCTCCCACCCCTCTGCACGCAACTGAATGTTAATTTTTTTTATACCAAGACAAGTAGGCCTACATATAGAGTTTCTTCCAGGCATCTCTTCGGGGGGGGGGGGGGCGAAAACGAAATGAAATTTATATAATTTATAGAGAAAATATATACTTTTAACAGTGTCCGCCCCCCCCCCCCCCCCGAAGAAAGTCTACCCCCCCCCCCCCGAAAATTTCAAGTGCCCCCTCCCCCCCCCCCCCCGGAGAAAAAAGTCTGGAAGAAACACTGTACATATACGACATTATACGACATCTACAACAAGAAAGTCAGGACTAGAGTTCATCGGGTCACTAACTGTCTACTATAGACATCCCGCCTGCTCACTAAAAGGAAGTCTTCATCAGTCCGCATACAATAGGGTATCTCTTTACGTCGTGGGCTAATTTTCGACCGCCATCTCCAGTCAGCTCAGGTCAAATGCCAGGCGACCGTACCCTACACAAAGGGAGGTGTGACACTATTTTTGTATCCAATTACGGCCTGTCCAAGTTCAGGTGGGACTCACCAACATAAACCGTGGCCTCAGTTATAACAATCAACAACGTCGGCATTCGACCATTTAGTTTTTCCCAATTGAATTCAGCAACAATTTTTTTAAGTTTACAAACTAATTCAGATAACAATGACATTGCTGAAACGCGGGGCCCCTTCAAGCGCGGGGCCTGTGGCGACCGCCCCGTTCGCCACCCCCTAACGCCGGCTCTGCATCTACAATAAATTAAAATGATTCACTTTATAGAAAACGATATAATGCCCAGAGGCGTCGAGAGGCGGGGCGGGGGGTGCTGACCGCACCAGGTTACGCCATTTAGGGGGTGACACCAAGGCAATAAATTGAAAAAATGAATAGTAGAAAAATGCTTCCTGCCAATTTAATTAATGATTAATTAGAGTTAAAAAGTCTTACAAAGTGCAAATATATATATATATATATATATATATATATATATATATATATATATATATATATATATATATATATATATATATATATATATATATATATATATATATATATACTGCTACGTCAGACGACCCCGCAGTGCACATGTTCTAGGTGGGCGGGGTCTAGATCACCTCTTGACTTGTGTACAAGGCTCTCTTCAATTCTCCACTGACTAGAGAACAATTTATATATTTGACTATGTGGGCGAAGAAAGTCAATTTTCTGTCGATCAGCAACAAAAAATATCACGACGATTACCTACCTTAGTCATCAAATTACATGGGAACAAAGAGAAGTTGGTAGATGGCCAAAATAGAAACCTCCAGAAACTAAGGCACACCTGTCGCTATTTGACAATGGAAACTTACATCAAATAACATCTAAGGGAAAATAATTTGGTCGTAGACAGAAACATTTGATCAGCCACACCGCTTCAAACATTTGATAAAAAGTATAAATGTTGTTCACTGTTAGAAGTGTTGCATCACAAATTAGAGTTAACAAACTGTAAGTTTTTAGACTTATTATAATCACTATTATATATATATATATATATATATATATATATATATATATATATATATATATATATATATATATATATATATATATATATATATATATATATATATATATATATATATATACATATACACATGTGAGCATTTTAATACAATAAGCTAAGCAAAACATTGCTTGGTGAAATGTTAAAATATCATATAGTCCTACCCATGATTTGAAGTTTTACATTTCCGATATGCTATAAATTAATTCAAACATCGAATTATATATATCTAGTAGCAGTAATTATACAATTCTAATTAAATGTATTACATTTGTGTCAAAATGGCCACGAAAAAAAATAATGTTAATACATTTTATTTCCCAGCTGTGATAAAAATGTCTCCCAAAATGTGTCTCTCCGTTTTTGTGGTCCTGTCTCTCATCGCCCAGCTCCTAGCTAAGAAAGGTGCAGGTGAGTT